CCGCCCCATGAAAAGCATGGCCAACATCCATTCTGCAAGGCTGGAGCCTGGAGACCATCCTTGGCATCTCCATTTCTCTTGTCGCCCTCACTCGGGTCTCACCAGGAACAGTCACTTTTTCCTCCTTGCTGCCTCTAGAATTCATCTTCTTTCCATCTCCATCAACATCGCCTGCCCTCACCTCCCACCTGGACAGTCACCTTGGTTCCCTCCACACTGGGCTTCCCATGCAGCAGAGCGAGCTTCCACGTCCTCACACCTACCTGGTCACCATGTGCTTAACATGCTGCAGCGGTGACCCATTATTTTTAGGATAAAGACCTCGGAGCTTTTACTGGCCAACACGGCCCAGCACGATCAGGCCCCACCTTGCTCTCCAACCTCATCACTCCTCGGGTCCTTCTTCCCTGCAACTCAGCTTCATTCTTTCACCTCCCACCTCAGGGCCTTTGCACGAGCTCTTGCTGCTGTGTGGAAGGCTGTTCTCTCCCCTTCCTTCATCAACTTAGTTACCCCAGTTTCACTTCCTCAGGGAAGCCCTCCTTGATTCCCTGTGTCTGGACTAGGTGTCCCTATTTGCTCTCTTCATCCATTTCACTTCCTGTCTATATTGGGTGATGATTGTCTGTCCACTTGCTTCCCCCAGGGTACTGAAAACTGCAAGGGCACAGACAATTTCCCTGGCAACTAATATAGTTTCTGGCTAAATGGATAAATGAATGGGTGAGGCCCATGTATGTCCTCCGTGTGACGGGGGAGGGACCTGCTTCTGTGAGCTGCAGAATAGTGACTCAGATGGCAGAAAATGCTCTGAAACAAGGAGAGGGTAGGAGACCAGCAGGGAGACCTGCAGCTGCCAGAGCCTTATTACTGCATTTGCTTCTAGGAGTGAGGAATTTATGCATGTTGAAATCTTAGCCCCCAATGCGATGGTATTTGGAAGCAGGGCCTTTGCAAGGGGAGTAGATCATGAGGGTGGAGCCCTTGCAAATGGGATTAGTGCCCTAAAAGATCCTGAAGAGAGCGCTCTGTCCCGTCCAGCACGTGCGAACGAGAGGTGGCTGTCTGTGAACCAGAAGCCCTCACCAGATACGGAATCTGCAGGGACCTTGATCTTGGACTTCCCAGCCTCTAGAACTGTGAGGAAATAAATGTTTGTTGTTGAAGCCACCCAGCCTCTGGCATTTTTTTATAGCAATCTGAACAGACTAAATCAGAATGTTATCTAAGCTTCTAGACTCTAGATCAGAAGTCTAATAGCTCTATCAGCCTGGTCTGTTGTTTTAATATTTAAGTAAGTTGACAACTTAAAAATCAAGAGATGTCCTCTAAAAACCTGATTCCAAGCTTCTTATAAAGAAAAACATTAGTCTCCCTTATCCTCAGTTTTGCTTTTCACAGTTTCAGTTACCCATGGTCAACTGTGGTCTGAAAATAGTAAATAAAAAATTCCCCAGATAAACAATTCATAAGTTTTAAATCACACGCCATTCTGAGTAGTGTGACGAAATCGCATGCAGTCCCACTCTGCCCCATCCAGGACGTGAATCATCCTTTGTCCAGTGTCTCTGTGTGTATAAGCTACTAACCAGCTAGTCACTTAGTAGCTCTCTCAGTCATCAGATCAACTGTCATGGTATCACAGTGCTTGTGTTCGAGTCACCCTAATTTTACTTAATATTGGCCCCAAAATGCAACAGTAGTGATGTTGGCCATTCAGATATAGCAAAGAGAAGCCATAAAGTGTATTATGTATAGGAAAAAACACAGTATATATAGGGTTTGGTACTATGCACTGGGGATCCTGGAATGTATCCCCCACAAATAAAGGGGCACTACTGTAGCTCTGGCAACACTGAGCCCCATCCAGTAAGGCATGGTGCTTCTGGATGGGATATGCCCTCTCGTTACCACAGTCCCCACCAACCCCCGCTGTCTTACACCACGCCTTTCCCCCTCCTTATAATCTGCCTGGCTCTTGAAAAAACTTGGGTTTGTGACCCCTTTAGAGGACAAGAACTTGAGAGGACAAGAACTCTGTCCTGTGTCCCTCTGAAAGTCCCATGATCCCCAGTGTGAACCCTAAGAAAAAAGACACCTAAGAAGGGTGGCTAACTGGGTGCAAAAAAACCCCACAAAACAACAGCAGAGCCTAGCAGCCTTCTCTGTGCAGGGGCCTCCCGGGCAAGCTGACGCTCACACAGGAACCTCCGCTGCGCTGCGGGCCGCCCGCGCTGTGCTCCCGCATCCCAGCAGCCCTTATAAAGGAGCTCCTGGGGCGGCTTCGCCCAGCAGGCCCGAGGCCTGGCCAGCCAGCGAGCGGCGCGGCTCCGGCCCATGGGAGAGGCTCTGCGCTCACCCATCAGGACAGTGCCTCTGAACCGATCCAACTGTGAGGATTCCGAGTCCTCGCCTGCCTGAGGGTGGACAGCTCGGGACGGGGCGGGGCGCTGCCTGCAGAAGCCAGCTGGCCTCTGGCTTAGAGGGGTGCTTCCCACCAGAGCCGGGGACTGCATTCCGGGGCCAGCGCTGGAGCACCAGACGTCTTGCTGGAGCAGAGCAAACTGTACCACTGTTGAGCTGTTTGCACCAAAAAAAGTTTCCTTCTTCACTGCACCCCAAATTGAGGGTTCCTGTTGGTGCTGAATTGGTGCCAACGACCATGGGGTGATGCCAGTAACCTCATACCTAGCAGGTTCTCTATCAAAGCAAACATTTTTAAATTGAGGCCCAAATTAAAATTATCCTCAGTCTTACTGGGTTGGATATGGCTCAGAAACAGGAACGCACTAATAGGTGCCTTTTCGTGTCTGTGATTTAGACATGAACTCGGTGCTCAAAGAGGAAGCAAATGCTAGACGGAGCTTCCGAGCGAAGAGCTCTGCCTCTTCACAGGCTGCGCGGGGAGGGTGAAGGCGCCGGGCAGCCAGCCTCCGGGCTCGTTTCAGGTGACTAACGCCTGTCCTGGCTTAAGCTGGGCTCTTCTGCCAGCCCCACCCCTACAAAAAGCTTCCACACCCCTTTCCCCCGGACCCAGCTGCGGTGGCAGAGGCCTCAGTTGGCTGAGAGTCCCCATAGATGCTTCCTGACCCACAAGCAGCCCTTCCCAAGCCCAGGAGCATGTCCTGAGCTTTATTTATTCCACGGGGGAGCCGATCATGATGACGACAACCTGACATTTGAATGCTACGAGATGCCAGATGCTGTTCTAAGTGCATTATCTCATTCAGTCCTCACACAACCCTGTGAGGTAAGAAGTGCTGAGCTCCCCATTTGACAGATGGAGAATTGAAAGCTCAGAGATGTCAAATAACTTGTCTACGGCACTCAGCAAGGAGGCGGCAGAGCTGGGATTCAAAGCTCAGCAGTCTGGCTCTGAAACCACTGGTACAGAAGAGGCTACACGCACAGATGCCGCCCCAGGTGTCCCGCCAGCTCCCCGCGGGACACTCCTCTCTACACCCGGGCTGCTCATCCAGGACACGGTGACCCGCCGGTGGGCTCAGCTCCTGGTTGCAGGAGCAAGCGCAGCCCGCGAGCGGGGCGAGTTGGAAGTGCTGGCGAGTCGATTCCCTGGAAGCAGGGGGACACGCCAGCCTCCCACCCCTCGGCCGGGAAACCCTGCAACACGCACTCAGCTCCCGGCAGGATGAAGCCCCAGCTTCCCACAGCAACAGGCAAGCTGCTTGATAACCTGCATCTCGGGCTCCTTCCTTCCCGCACATCACCCCCATCTATGGTGCCTCCTGGGGTCTCCTCCAGAGAAACTGCGCGCACTTGAATCCTGAGAGTCTGCCGCTGGGGACTCTCAGAGCAGGACAGTGACTGCCCACGGGTGTGACAAAGTGGTGTCACCTCTCTGGGCCTCAGTTTCCTCATTGGTCAAAGAAAAATAGGGGTGATAACAGCATCTAACATTCAGAGTTGCCATGAGGATGAGTTAAATGAGTTAATCTTTCTAAAGTATTTACAATAATAAATGGCACATAGTCAGCATTTTATTAAGTTAAAAGATTCTAAGAAATTTTTTAGGAAAATGTCACCAAACCCATCATGAACCATCCAAAATGGTGCCTTCCCTTCCCTGGCCCATGGGCAAGCTAGGGGTCTGAAGAAACCCCCCCAGAGCCCACTCTGACCTCCCGAGGTGCCCCTGCTCGCCCCACAGTGAATTCTATCACCCGATCCAGCAGCCTGGCTTGACCATCACTCAGAATTCCTCCAGATCAGAGACCTGAAAATAATTTCTGAGTCGCTCTGGGTGCTAACTGGTGACTGCACAGGGTTTCGCTGCTCACGCTCAAGGTTTACTGAAACTCCTGTGTGTCTGAGGACACCTTCCAGTCTGTTGGAAACAGTTTTTGGTCAACAGCTCTGTCAGGAGCAGCTATGATCCAGGCACACAGCATCTGGGGCTCTTGCTGGGAGCAAGGGGTACACAATTTGTCTCACGCAGACAAAACAGCCCTTTACTTCAAGCCAGCGACTGGCCTCAATAAATGCTCTGTTCGTGTAGGAAACATGTTCCTTGTGTCCTGAAATGCCACCCCGGCTGCCCTAGGACAGAAGAAATCATTTGGCAAAATTGAGACTTTATTTTATACAAGAAAATACTGGCCTTTTTTTTTTTTTTTTTTTTTCCCCCCAAAAAAAAAAAAAAAAAAAAAAAAAAAAA